CCGCACTCCCCCCATCATTCACTATGGTAAGATTTTTTGAGAACCACTGTTCTAAGACATCACTGAAGATGCCATCAATAACTTTAGAACTGCTGACATCACCATCGTCCACACTCATCTCAATTTCATGTACCACTTATGAAAAATAATGCATTTTTATTTCATCCAAAGACAACAGGCATCCACTGAAGAGTTTTAAGCACATAAGTGAAGTTGTAAGCATGCAACTAATGTCAAGTCTGAAAACCCCCACTGGCTATGGAATGCCAACTCCCCATTTGCCAAACAAAAGTCAAGTAGAGGTTCCAGTAGTAACCGGTTTATGTCCCAGGCCTATTTACATTTGGTCTTTTCTTACCTCTGGACTTATCACCCCAACGGTCTGTGCTAGTGGAGTCAGTAGAGACATTGAGGAGATATTCAGTGCGTCTTCCTGCTCTTCGCTGCTTTCTGCTTCTTCTCGATCCATTCCCTCTGGACTCCTTTCCACCTCTAGTTCACCTTCCTCTAAGACATCACTGAAGATGTCATTAATAACTTTTGAACTATTAATATCATCATCATCATCCACACTCATCTCAAGTTCACGTACCACTTCTGAAAAATATTGCAACAGGGAGATATTACGATTCAGATCTTTAACTGTGAAAAGCAATAGCAGAGAAGCTGTGACAGTCATATACTAACTAAACCAACAGGAGAAGAAGCTTGCTAAACAAATCAAAAAAGGTTACTAACACACAAAACCGATCTAATTTTCAATGTTCTATTAACATTTGCTGTGTACTATAGTTTGGGTCTATATGAAGCTGCTCCAATGCTTTGGATGGAAGAAAGTACGGTAACTCAGAACTCAAACAGCAGATTAAAGCTTAAGACTTCCAAAATTATGCTCTTGGAAATGAATCTATCATTGGGAACTGCCCTTTTACTCAGGGAGATAAATCAATGTCGGGGCCACAGAGGCCAGTCATTCCTCTAAAAGGGTCTGGAGAGCATGCGGGGCAGGCAGCAGACTGTCCAGGCAAAGTCGGGGAAGCTGTCGTCAGGTTCTTTCCTGGGCTGTGACCTAGAGATCACTTGTACCAGCTCCACCCCTTTATGGAAGTGAAAGTATGTTCATAGTTTCGAAGAGAAAGCATATAGCACATGGTTGTTGTGAACTATAGGAACATGGTATATTTGACTATGTACTTCTACTAAGGTGCTGCATCTCAGAATGTGTTGAGAGTTAGTAAGAAATAAAATAAAACCAACCAGTCTGCTGCTCTATCTTTGGGTCTCCCGTTACTTTTAAAGCCTTGTCCTCTTCTAAAAACAGGGTTATTTTTAAAGGGCTGGACTTTGTCATTTCACATTCAGTAGAACCTGAGGAAAAATTAAGATATATTGAGATTATATATATACTTGAAAGTACCTAGGTCTTTTTCAGCTAATCAATGGGTGATTATTCTAGGATTTTTTTCAAGGAAGAAATTTTATAAATTTTTTTCTGAATATAAAGTTAGATGTTTTAAAACACTCAAATCTAAAAATGTATAGAATCCTTCCCAAACACTTACCCTCTCCAGATCTCATTCTTCCTCTCTGAGAGAAGGAAACACCAATATTACCAGGTTGCTGTTCGCTCTCTCAGCTTTCCCAATGAGTATGCATGTGTGTATAAAACATGTTTGGGTTTCTCAGAGTGGGGAAATAAGCCACAAAACAACTCACTGCCACTGAGTCAATTCCTACAGATAGTGACCTTGTAGGGCAGAGCAGAGCAAGCCCTGTGGGTTTCTGAGACTGGAAAGCTTTTGCAGGGGTCCTCAAACTTTTTAAACAGGGGGCCAGTTCACTGTCCCTCAGACTCGCTGGAGGGCCGGACTATAGTTAAAAAAAAACCATGAACAAATTCCTATGCACACTGCACATATCTTATTTTGAAGTAAAAAACCAAAAAGGGAAAAAACACCTGGCAGGCTGGATAAATGTCCTTGGCGGGCCGCATGTGGCCCGCGGGCCATGGTTTGAAGACCCCTGCTTTAGGGAAACAGAAGGGCTCCTCTGGCTCCTGTGGACAGGCTAGTGGTTCTGCACTGCTGACCTCAAGGTGAGCAGGCCGAGGCGTACCCACTACCGCCAAGGCTTCGGCTTCATCAGGCAATCAGCGTTTTTAAAATGACCATGTGAATCAAATGCCAATAAACTGTCGGAGGAAAGAGTGACCGTGGCATTCCGTTACATATAACATTATCTTCTGCTTTTTAAGTCGCTAGATATTTTGATTGCATGAATAAAAAAATATTTGATTGATGAATCTATCATAATTTATTTAAACAGCCTTGAGGGATGTTTAGATAATTTTATTTACTACTATCGCAAAATGTGTTACAATAAATCACTTTGTCTATAAACATACATCTTACCACACCAGTTCTTTTAGAAACATTTACAGAAAAGGGACTTGTGCATTTTGCGTGTGTGAAAATATGTACAGCAAAAGATATACCATTTCAACAATTTCTACAAGTATAATTCCCTTTCACCCGAAGCTCCCCAAATTTTGAAGCCTGACATGGAGGGTAGGGCATAAAATATGGGTGGAAGCATTCGCAAATTGCTCACGACCCTACAGTTTACCATGCCTGTCGACTAGCCCATATGTGCTTCTCACAGATGAAGCTGTGGGTGCCAACAGAGGCTAGGAGACATGAGTCAAAGTCAAGGGGGTTCCCTATTCGCAGTACTCAAAGTCTTTCTAGCAGGTCCCTGACCCCAGAGGCCTGGCCCACTGGGAAGTTGTTTCCTTGGGTCTGAATGCACCATGAAAACTAGGGAATGTCTGCTTGTGGTCCCACTTCTGCCCACCTGGCTTGTGTGTCCAGCTAGGGTGAGAGGCCTGGGGTTAGCTAGCTGGCAGCAGTCAAACAATCGTTGAAACGCATGCCATCCCTTACTTCAAATGCTTCAATGGTCCCACTTCCGCTCGGTGTTTCCTGTTTCCCTCCCTCCCGTTTTCTTACGCCTTCTGAAATTGCCCTGGGTAAATGCTGCCCTTTTCATCTCCTTGGGCGATTTATTCTAGGGTGGGCATGCTTCCTTAAAGGGATATCGTTCAAAGGGCTTGCACACTTTGTAATTTAACAAACAATACAAATTATTCTCCACCAAAAGGTGTAAAAGTGGTCCTACGGCCTACTTGAGCTCTCACTCTGAAAAGGGATCTGCAGAGGGACCGTCATCTGGCGTGAAGGGGCAGGGAGCACTCCACCTGCTGCAGAGCAGCACTCCTGCTCCCCAAACCGAAGGGACCGTGCGACGCCTCGTCCAGTCCCATTTTAAACCACGGAGCAACACACCTGCAGGCTTGGAGCGGGGAGTCTCTGTTGGTGTCGGACTCTTTGTCACCTTTTCTGTTACTGCACGTGTTGGAGCATCTGAAGTAACCTGAGATTTTTTGAGGGGAGTGTTCTGGCAGTGAGTTTCCTGTAAAAAAGTAAATGAAAAGAGATGTTTTTGTTTGTTTGTTTGTTTACATTTCATTCATGGAAAGGAGCGTGCCTACTCTATAGGGGCTCCCTGTGGAAGGGCCCAACCACGGCTAGAATGTGGCAGGTCCTCGGTTAGTTCATGTTCTTAATAATCCCCAGTATGTAAAATCATTTTTAGAGAATAAAGCAAAAATAGAATCAAAATTATCATGAGTTCAGCTTTAGATAAACTAAATAAAGGGAAAAAAATCACACAAGTGGAAAAATAATCCTCATGTCATTTTGTGCACCCCACACGTAAAACATTTGTTGACAGTTCCCACTTCAGGCTCTATTTAATTATCAGTTACTCAGAGGGCAAAATCCAGAAAGAAAGGAAAAAGGACAAACTCAGATCACGTGGTAAGGAAAAAGGAAAGGAAGGGGAGAAAATTCCATTTTCTGAGTCTTTTTAAGATGTATACATATATTTCAAAGGGCTTGTAATAGTGATACAGCATAAAATATATTTTATAATAGTGATATCGATATACATTTTATAATAGTGATCGCAAGCATAAAATATTATAACATTCTTCTATGCATCTGAAATATTGCATCTACCCTGGGAAGAAGTCATGAGAAAATGTACGCAGGAGATGTGGGGGGGAGGGAGGTGGGCGGGAGCAGGAGAATTGCTGAGTCATGTGAACATGTTCCAGGTATTTGATCAGAATATAATGGTGAATGACATGGGCAAATCACCCACAGGCAAGAACACTGCATGTAGAACTTGAAACCACTGGTGTGGAACAGTTCATAGATCACCAAGAAGGGGGTGGACAGATTCAGACTTAATGTACTGTGAAGAGGATAGATGCCGAAGAAATGGTGAGGACGAGGAAATAGAGTTGTCAGCATTAGTTTTTTTGTTGTTGTTTTTTTACATTTTATTAGGGGCTCATACAACTGTTATCCCAATCCATACACACATCAATTGTGTAAAGCGCATTTGTACATCGTTTCTCAAAACATTTTCTCTCCACTTAAACCCCCGACATTAGGTCCTCATTTTTCCCCTCCCTCCCCGCTGTCAGCATTAGTTATAATGAACGGATTAGCTGAAGGGCTTCAACTGCTTGACAGCAGGGACCCAAACACCGATTGCTTTCTTAAAGTCAACAGGCAGATTCGGGAAGTGTAAGATGTTATCATCAAATATATACACATAAACCAGATAATAACTCTCACTAGTTTTCTGACTAAAGGCTGTGCTCATCCTCAGGATAATCCTGATGACCCACAGCCTCCCACAAATGGCATTATTACTATGACGGACAAAAGCCAGGGTCATCTGGCTCTGCTTCATCATCACAGTACATGGTTATGCAATATAAGGGTAGGTTTAATGTCTCTAAGCCCCAAAGGCAAATAAAGATCAGACTTATAAAGATAGAGATAATGAAAAGCAGTAATAATGAAAACAAAAAGTATTTGACTTCTGTTGGAAACAACTTAGGACGCAGACATCTGAAAGAAACCCTGCATAAGTCAGGAGCATCTGTACTGCTACCAGAGTGAGAAAAAGCCTTTGACGTAGAAAAAGAAAGTCAGCTACCAAATGCTGCAACTGCACGGCAGATGTCTGATGAAGGGAAGAAAGAGATAGAGAAGAAAGCAGCTGAGTAAAACCTTAATGTGCCTCATTCACGCTGGACCCACGACCATTGTTCAGTAAATGAACAAATGGCTGCAATGGTAAAGGGAAGCAACCACATTCATTCCCAAGGCCAAATACACCCACTGTGGCCCACACACATTCCTGCAGCTCACAACATAGAATAACCTGGAGGACAGAGTGCTGAGTGAAATTAGTCCAACAATAAGGGCAAATATTCTGTAAGATCACTATCATAAAAAAATCAAGACTAGGTTTTCATATTACTTTCACATTTCCCATTTGCTGTTTTCGAGGGCTGAGAAAGGAATGGAGGGATGGGGGAGTCATAGGCTAGAGCAGTGGTTCTCACCTTCCTAATGCTGAGACCGTTTAATACAGTTCCTCATGTGGTGGTGACTCCCAAACATGAAATGATTTTCATTGCTACTTCAAAACTGTCATTTTGCTACTGTTATGAATCAGGTGACCCCCGTGAAAGGGTCATTTGACCCCCAAAGGGGCCATGATCCACAGTTTGAGAACCGCTGAGCTAGAGGGTAGGCAAAGGCTGAACAAATGGGCTAGAGAGAGTGCGCGTATAGCCATGAATACATATATGTTTGGCAGAGAATACTTAAATATGTTTATTTACTTTTGCTGCAACTCTCCCCATGAACAGTACAGGGAACATGCATGAAAAGTTCTTAGATGTAATCAAACAACTTGAGTCAACAAGTCACTGGTCCTCGGGGATCAAGAGCATAGGCTTAGGGGACACCAAGGCCAACTGGCCTAACCGTCCACAAAGACAATGTTCTATATCTTAATTTGGTGAGGCAAGACCGGAGGCTTAAAGTCTGATGAACAGCCATCTAAGGGCAGCTCAGGCTGGGCTCTTCCCATTCAGAAGAAAGAAGGGCGATGAAAATCAAAAGCCACTGGAAATCATTAGTCTAATGGACCACACAAACACCCGTTTTCATCATCCTGAGACTAGGAGAACTTGCTCATGTCCAGTTACTACTACCAACTGTTTTGAAAAGGATCACATAAGGTGGGCTTGGAGAGAGAGGAGAAAAATATGGAACGAAACTCAAAATCATGAGAGGGACCAGGCTTATTAGTTGGACAGAGACTGATAAAACCCCCAAGATGATGACCCTTAGTTTCCCTGTAGGTCTAGAGCTGAACTCACCCCTTTGTTAGAATAATCAACCACTTAAGATCAAAAGGGTATTACTACTCAAGAACAATGCAGAAATACACACAGAAAACCCACGGAGGATTACGTGATGGTTTATTGAGGATGAGGTGAAACAAAATGTGAATGAATTGTCCAATGCAAAACTGATTTGCTCTATAAATTTTCACCTAATTCACAATAGTTTTTTTTTAAAATGATTGTCTCTCCTAAATGCTGATAAGGAGAAAGCCAAACTCTTCAGTCTCTAATAATATTCTTAATTCTTTTCTAAAAGCTGCTGTTGCTTTGAGATGCAAGCCTGAGGATATACTGCATCATCATTCTACTCCCAGCCTGTTATCAAGGCATCGACGACAAGTCCTTGCTATGCCCTCCTGGAACAGGACTAACCAGACAATACCTTTGCATGACCATTTCAACTCCAATGACCTTCAGCGCTACTCCAGCTCAGCCGTCCCCTGAAATCTGTTTCATCTCAGCAATCTTATATTCAAATATCCTACTCTGGCCACAGCCTCAGCCTTATTAGCTCATCTAGCCTTTGCTCTTTGGCTTCATGGATACCTCTGATCGTCTGATGTATTTCTTCCTAGTATCTCCTATTAGTGTCCCATTAGCTTAGAAACAGAAGGAATAGGAGTTAGAATAGGTGACCAGATGTCCCGAAAGAATGCACAAGCTAGGGTCTATGGTTTTCGGCTGCCATGTGGCTATTTCACCGAGGTATGAGTTTTATCAATGGTGTCCCGCTGGTGTCCCGCTTTACCAATGTTAAAATCTGGTCACCTTAAGTTAGTATTAACTCAGATAAGGAGCTCTGGTGATGTAGTGGTTACACGTTGGGCTGTAATCCACATGGTTGGCAGTTCGAAACCATCAGCAGCTCCTTGGGAGAAAGACTGGGCTTTCTAATCCCGTAAACAGTTAGTCTTAGAAACCCACAGGGGGGTGGCCATGAGCCAGCCTTGACTCAACAGCAGTGCGTTTGATTGTTTACAGTTTAATCAGAGTAGCAGCCCATAAATAAAGACCTACACCACCATGACTCCTTTTATCAGTTAATACTAACTCCTACTACTTTCGTTTCTAAGACCACTCCCTCCTGTCCTCAATATTTCAGTCACCCCCACCCCTTTCCTGAAATAGAACTGTCAGACAAAAAATGTTATCAGTTTTCTATCACCCCGGCTCTAAAACTACAATGCTCCAAAACACTGCCCTAATCCAGTCCTTAAATTCTGTACTTGACCCACTCTCTCTCTTCAAAGACTTGGTTCACTCCATAAGTTATCTCTTTCTTCCCTGCACTGACGAACCAACAGGAAGAGCAATATTCTCGTTGATGAATATGGCAGGTGGCAAGGGTAGAGGTAAAATGAGGGACACTTTGGGGAAAGGACCGACTAAGGAATATGAAGTGGATTAAAGTCAACCACGTTCTTAAAGAAGAATCCACCACGGTGATATTCCAGGAAGACAGAATAATGGAGAGATCTGAAAGCTGAGTGCCAGCGGAGAAACTGCAACTAGTCTGTGTGTCAGCACCAAGAACAGAGGGAAAAACAGGCCAAGAAGTTAGATTACAAATGACTCTGTATGTCAAACTCAGCAGTCTGGGCATTTTGGTGAGGAAGACTCTGGGGCACTCTTAAGGATTTTAAGCACATGAATATATTTTCCTTTTGAAAATATTTCCCTGGCAACAGTGGTGAGGCAGATTGGAGGACAGCCAGACAGGAAGCAGGGGTCCAATAAAAAGGTTCAGCAGTAATTAAGGTAATGGCAGAGGACATAGTGGCTTGGTGACAGATTTAGAAAATATTTCACCAGATGCTGCAGGCACATACCAGTGTGAGCTAGATGTATAAAAAGGTGAGACAGCAATAAATAAGATGACTGTGCTATAACGCCGCAAAGACAGGAGATACAAAGACCACAAGGGGAGGATACAGCATAGCCCAAAGAGCTCTACTCGGCAATGACTGGAGTTCAGTGGAGAGAACAAGGCTGCAGAAGTGCATAAGCATTGCACTGCCTAGACTGGGCTAGAGATGAGAGATGGAGAGACGTCCGAAGGAAAATGAATAGAAAACCAGGCAAAGGCCAGAACTCTAGGAACCATGACTTGTTACACGGCAGCCGAGAGAAGTGATCAAACAAAACCAATCAAATAGCTCCTTCTCAAAGAATACAGGTCAGACTGCTTGCTGCTATACTTTTTACTGGTATCCATTGTGAATATAATTCTAACATTTTTACCATTTTATCCTAATTTAGTACTTGGTACACAATAGGGACATGAAGCAGCTGATCAATAAATTGAATGCAGTTTCTAGTTAGGGAGTTTGTTGAAGGCTGATTAATGAAAAGTTGAGAGAAATATGGGGGTATTCGCATGGATGGATTACAGACAGTATGAAAGTCTGGTGTTTGGGGAGAGCTATAAAATTATCAATGAGCAAAGTAGATTCAGAGAAACATTTTAGAACCAGCATCTTCTAAAAGTAGTGTTAAGAAGAGTCTGAACTCTAGTGGGAATCATATTTTTCAAATTTAATTTTGGGAAGGCCATCAGGAGAGATTCCATTGAAATGGGGGAAAAAAACACACAAGAAAAGGCAATTAATAAAAACATTTAAGGAATGATGAGTGGAAATGGCCTGGTTAATGAAAACAGTAAGCGTTTCAAGAACTGTATTACAATTCAGAATTATAAGTTATAACCCACCACTACTTTGGAACAAATCCGCCTTTCTATTTGTCGGTTACCTTCTTGGTTTCTAGTTGTCTGCTTCTTGAGTTTTCTCCTTTCTCTGCACTCCAGACATTGCCCTTGTCAAGCCGACCACGAAGGCATGCTAGTTCTTTTTCACGCTCCTAAAGCCAACAAAAGCTGTATTTTACACAAGAGCCAGTGGTGTGCTTAAGAACAATAATACCAAAGCACTACTAAAATCTCCTTTGCTTTCAGTTTTAATAAAATAAAGTCCACAGTACACATGGAATACAGGGCAATTAATATTTCCAAATTGAAATAAGTGATACAGAGAAGCAAGAAGCTATTTATCTCAGCAGCAAAACTGGGGCCAGAATTCACAGTTTGATTTCTGAGTTCTCTGCTGGGACCACATGAAACAGTTAAATGTGTAAGTGATACCTGCTTGAGCTGTTGTGCTAAATGAGTAGTAGTCGAAGATGTGTTCTGCCTGAATAATCTTTCTTGGATGGCCTTTGTATTGGGGGTGATAATGGGGGTCCTATGGGGTGTGCTACGCGCTGGACTTTCTTTTCTGTGTTCTTGACAGCGCTCTCCGAAGCGTTCCAGAAAAGGCTTAATTCCTGCTGCTCCTACAGGAAACACGTCAGAGATCATAAATGACAATAATGACTCACAGTGACGACATTCTAAAATCTATTACTCTCAAAGCTTTGGTTTTAGGAAGTAAACCACTCGTTCTTCTAGGAGTAATCATTCAGAAAGTCAACAATACAAAAACAGTTCAAAATTGTATCATACTCCACTCTTCCATTTAGCTCTATGTCATAAAACATATATAAGATCTAGCTCTTAAAAGAAGGGTTGAGAAACCAGTGAAAGGGTGGTGATTAGATAACTCTCAGGCTGAGCAATAAAGAGTCTGAATGATTAAAATTGACTATCTGCATATTAACAAATTGCTACTAACCAAGTCATGATAAAGTTCAACAAAGTTTTACAGCCCAATTAAATTTATCTTGCTTTTATGAGGTCTAAAATATAAAATCCAGGTATTTCCCCATTGTTTCCACTATTCACTTTATCTTTCCAAATAAATAAAATCAACAGAATCTGAACCAAATACTTATTTAGTATGAATTGATTTAAATAGTATTAAATGCACTGAACCCATGGTCGATAGGACTTATGCTACCTCCATCATGATGATGCTGGAGGCAAAATATGTAAAAAGAAGTATATTTACATCAGAAGTTGGCAAGCAATCTCAGTTAAGGCTAGATAGCAAATGCTTTAATAATTTGAGGACTTACTCCACTCTGCATTTTAAGATGAAGGCAGCCACAGATAGTTTATATAAAAACAATGGGCAGGTATGTGTGCCAATAAAACTCGATTTACTGAAAAAGCCCCCCTAAAATGTGATTTCCAGTTTCTATGATTTGTTTGCATAAAAATGGATAGAAGAAAATATCTAGACTGGCCATCCTAAGAAACACATATTTGACTGTTAAAATGTAATAGGCTAAATACTTTGACCAATAAATGGGCTAATCAATGCTCATAAATATTCATACAATCAATTAAAGCTAACTCTAAAGAAGCCACATTCAGAACACCTGGGCACTGGCCCAACACAATGTACCATCATAATTACATGTTAAATCCTGTGAGTAACATCTTAAAAACAGTCCACAGAAACTAGATACGAGAGTACCTGGTGCTGTAGATTTGTCTTTAGATGGAGACTGTTGGCAACCTTCGCTATTTAGTTCTCCTTTGGAGCAAACTGCCGGGGATACAGTTGACTTCACATTGGGTTTCAACACTTCGGTTTTCAGAGGACTAGCAGGACTTTGTTTAAGTAGCTCTGGATTTTGCCCTTCACATTTTTTTGACTTAGTGGTGGATGTAGTAGAAGACTTAAGTGGGGATGAAGTAGCTTTCTGAAACAGAGTAATATTTAGGGTTATCAACAATATTCAAAAATATCCATAGGTAGAGTCCTTGTAGATTTAAGAGAAAAAAATTTTGTTTGCCACATAATATGCCAAACCGATTTGAAAGATTCGAAGAACTGTACTTAACTTAGACCATGCTAATATAATTGAGTCTATGTAATATATCCTAGGGCAACCAAGTCTGAAGAGTAGGGAGGGTTGCTGCTCCGTTTTAAAAAGCGAATGCTTACACATCACGGCACTAACACCAAACCAAACACACTGCCATCACACCCGTTCCAACTGACAGGGAGCCTAGAGGCTGGAGCAGAAGTGGCTCTCTGGGATCTTTACAGAAGCAGAGAGCCTCATCTTTTTCCTGTGAAGTGGCTGGTGGATTCAAACTGCTGACCTTGGGGTTAGCAGACCAACATGTAATCTGCTACTCTACCAGGGTGCTTGTTGCACTAGAATATCAATTGATTTAATTTAATTAATTAATTTAATTCTTAACTGTGTTAGACCAAATTACCTATTTTTGAATATATTAAGTCAACAATAAGTTAACAAAATCATACCATAACTTGATGGCTAATTGTAATAAGCCATCAGGTACAGGATGAAAGACTGGCACTTTAAACCCACTCAGCAGCTTCTATAGGAGAAACACATGGTGATCGACTTCTACAAAGACTCCGGCCAAGAAAACCCTAGGGGCCAGTTCTCCTCTTCCATAGGGAGCCCCTATGAGTCAAAACAACAACACGTGCCGGGCACCTTGCTCACTTTCTGCACATGATCGCATTTGACATCCCCAATCATAACCCCTTTCCTTTCCCTAATTGACAGAAGGAAAAGTAGGCTTGGTAGGATCGAGTAACTTATTCAAAGCTTCAGTGCTAATTCTGTGGCACAGCTGTGAGTGAATGAAGGTTTAACTCCAAAGCCTAGATCTATACCATCTAAAAGCCAGTCTCCAGTGTTTGAAGGTTGCTTTTAAAACAGTTAAGTTAATGTATACGCAGGTAAATGTCAAACATTTCAAGAGGAATGCAATGAAAAATGTCCTACCACCAATAATGTGGGTAGCCGATGCCAGTAGGGTAAGAAGAAGGTAGGAGGAGAGACGGAGAACTGATCACAATTATCTACAGATAACCCAGGGGGACGGACAACAGGAAAGTGGATGAAGGGACACATCGGTCAGTGTATGACATGAAAAAAAAAATAATTAATAACTTATCAAGGGTTCATGGGTGGGGTGGGGAATGAGGAGCTGATACCAAGGGGGTGTGGAATAAGGAGCTGATACCAAGCTGATAGTTGATGCTCAAATAGAAAGAAAATGTTTTGAAAATGATGATTGGAACAAATGTACAAATGTGCTTGACACAATGGATGGATGGATGGATGGAGTGTGATAAGAGCCGTATGATCCCCCAATAAAATGATTTAAAAAATAAAAAGAAAAGTAAAGAAGTAATTGTTAAAGCATAAAAAAAAAAGAAAAATGCCCTACCCAACCCTTGCTATCCTTCCTATAGGGCAATTTGCCTTCCTGAAGGTAACTTCAGCTGTTAAAAAGTTAACAATTTGTTCTGTCTTTTCAAAGATACTGATATCTTTGCTACACTTAAACCACACATAAAGCATTTTAATGGGAAATAAGATTTTCAGTCCTCCTTGTGACCAAGCCTCCATCAGTCCATTATCATGAAGTTTGGATTTGCATTAAAATGGTGTGGTTTTAATTGTCAGCTGCTAATTTACCTTGGGGTGGGATTTCAAACTTAAGATCTCTACGTTCTGTACAGCCAGTATTCTAAGAAAACACACATCAACACAGGATTTGTATACTAGAGAACACATATCTACACACATATTATAAAATATATACCTATATGCATTACCACTCCTAACAAAAGAGTAAATAGGTAAAAGGTTTCCAAAGATGAACATTTTTGATTACTTACCACAGAGCTGGAAGTGGGGGCATCCGCAGCCCCGGAAGATGGGGCATTATTCAAAGAGGCATCGCCTTCCCTTTGGGAACTGCATGTAGCTTCCTGCTTAACACTGCTGCTATTGATCCTAGCAGATGCTCCACTTGCAGAGGAAAATTTGGATAAACAAGTGGTGCCAGGCTGTTCCTTTACACTGTTTTGCTTTGCAGATGAGTGATTTACATCATCTTCCCAAGAGCAAATAGTTGCAGCAAGGTCGGCCAGCCGGCCCCTTCTCCCGACTGGAGTCGCCGAGGAATCTGAAAGGGGCGGTTTTGGTGGGGAGGCAGCCTTTCCCTCTGATGGCACTGTGGTGAAGAGTGAGCTCTCAGGTTTATCATCTGAAAACATTTCCACAAGAGAGTTAAAAACCAGGTTTAAGAGTTGTGGTTTGAGATGCTGCCTGGATCTCCACATATATACTTTTAAAATGAGGTAGGAGTTTTTTTTTTGTTTGTTTGTTTTTTTAAGAGTTTTAAGAAGCAATAAAAAGTTTCCATCTGCATAAACCTACCAACCGGTCTAAATGTATCAATCTTTTCACATCAGATGACACTTAACCTAAAGCTATAAAAATAAACACTTTGTTATATCTATTTTCCAATTGTTTGATGGCCAGTGGATACTATAAGTTATCATGTTTCCATTATACAGGTAGTCCCCGAATTGCATCCTATTTAAATTATGACCAACTGCAGGTTTGGTAGTAGGGTGGCAGGTGGACATTGGGCCTCCTCATGCACATTCCCTTAATACAAGAGCACCTTGCTCAGCTAAACGGTCATTTCATGATACCTACCTTCCCGACATGATCGCTGAAGACAGACATGTGCATAAGCAAATGTGGTGAAGAAAGCTGATGGTGCCCACCTATCAAAAGATATAGCGTCTGGGGTCTTAAAGGCTTGTAGGCAAACAAGTGGCCATCTAGCTCGGAAAACAGCAAAGCCCACAGAGAAGAAACACACGAGTCTGTGCAAACACGAGGTGTTGAAGGGATCAGGTAGCAGACACCAAAGAACAAAAACCATCATTGTGTGACCACCTTCCCCATATAAACGCTGAAGATGAATGTGTGCATAAGTAAGTGTGGTGAAGAAGGCTGATGGTGCCCGGCTATCGAGACCTATAGCGTCT